GGTTGCAGCGCTGCAGCACTGCACTGAGCTGGTGCAGCTGGGTGAGGCTGTGGCACTGCAGCACTGCACTGAGCTGGTGCAGCTGGGTGAGAATGCAGCGCTGCAGTAGGTGGATGCTGCAGATTGGGATGCGGCGCTGCCGAGCAGGTGGATGCAGCGTTGCAGCGCTGCACTGAGTGGTTTTCTATGAGATAGGAGTGCAGCACTGCACAGGGAAGGTGCTGCAGATGGGGATGCAGCGCAGCTGAGTGGACAAACAGTGCTGTGGCACCGCAACACTGCAGCACTGCACTGAGTGGGCGCAGCAGACTGGGATGCAGCGCGGCTCAGCGGGGAGATGCAGCACTGCAGCCCCACCACGGGTGTGTGAAGCAGGGTGGGGATGCAGCACTGCATGGGGTGGGAGCTGTGGTGGTGGGGGTGCAGCATTGCAGCACTGCATGGCGTGGGAGCTGTGGTGGTGGGGGTGAAGCATTGCAGCACTGCAACGGGTGGGAGCTGTGGTGGTGGGGGTGCAGCATTGCAGCACTGCAATGGGTGTGTGAAGCAGGGTGGGGATGCAGCACTGCACGGGGTGTGAGCTGTGGTGGTGGGGGTGCAGCATTGCAGCACTGCATGGCGGGGGAGCTGTGGTGGTGGGGATGCAGCATTGCAGCACTGCAACGGGTGGGAGCTGTGGTGGTGGGGATGCAGCATTGCAGCACTGCAATTGGTGGGAGCTGTGGTGGTGGGGGTGCAGCATTGCAGCACTGCATGGGGTGGGAGCTGTGGTGGTGGGGGTGCAGCATTGCAGCACTGCATGGGGTGGGAGCTGTGGTGGTGGGGGTGCAGCATTGCAGCACTGCATGGGGTGGGAGCTGTGGTGGTGGGGGTGCAGCATTGCAGCACTGCAATGGGTGGGAGCTGTGGTGGTGGGGATGCAACATTGCAGCACTGCATGGGGTGGGAGCTGTGGTGGGGGGGTGCAGCATTGCAGCACTGCATGGGGTATGAGCTGTGGTGGTGGGGGTGCAGCATTGCAGCACTGCATGGGGTGGGAGCTGTGGTGGTGGGGGTGCAGCATTGCAGCACTGGAACGTGTGGATCACATGGGGTAGGGGTGCAACACTGCAGCACCGCGGGGGGATGCTGTGGGGGGGTTGCAGCACTGCAGCATCGCATGGGGGTGCTGTGGGGGGGTTGCAGCACTGCAGCACCGCATGGGGGTGCTGTGGGGGGGTTGCAGCACTGCAGCACTGCGTGGGGATGCTGTGGGGGGGTTGCAGCTCTGCAGCACCGCGCTGAGTGCACGCAGTGCAGCACTGCATGAAACGGCTGCAGCGCGCTGAGGATGCGACGCCGCATGGAAGAGATGCTGCGGGGTTGCATTGTAACGCTGAGTGGATGCAGCGGGTTGGGGGGCAGCATTGCAGCACTGCAATGGGTGGCCGCATCGGGCCGGGGCCGCTCACCTTTCTCCTGCGCGCGCAGCAGCAGCTCGTATTTCTGCGTGCAGGCGCTGTAGTCGCGCTGCAGCTGCATGCGGTCGTCGGGCTGGAAGCAGCGCGCATCGGCGCTGTGCTGCAGGAACTGCTGGTAATGCGTCTCCAGGCTGCGCAGCGTGCGCTGACATTCCTCCGTCGCCATGGTGCGCAGCTGCAGGGGAGCGGTGAGCTCAGAACACGCGGCTGCAGCGCTGCAAGGCTGCATGGCTGCACGGCGGGGCGCAGTGCAGCACCACGAAGTGCGGCGTGCAGGGTGCTCACTGTGCTGCATTACTGCGTGTGGCACTGCAATGCGCTGCAGCACGGCATGGCGCGGCATGCGGCACCACACTGCGCTGCATCACACGGCACTGCATGGCACTGCAACACGCTGCATTGCAACTATCTGCAGCCAGGGCACTGCAGCGCGCTGCATGGCTCTGCGTCATGGCGTGCAGCACTGCAATGCGCCACG